CATTCAGAGACAAATGCGGTCAAACTATGGAAGTGCTTTTAGAGCTACGAAGAAAAATGTTTGATTCGATTTTACTATTTCAAAATGAACTAGACTATCAGATGATCACTAGGTAAAGTGACCTACGCATCGTGCCGAAGGCTGAGGACGAGCGCCGTGTAATGTGCACTTCATCCTGGAGGATATGATGTCCATCAGAACCGACCACTCCACCGGTCTCAATATCAGTCGTCCTTTCTCTGTTCATCCCCGAAGCCATTTCGGCCAAGTCACCACAACCTGAGCGCACCAGATTTGCAGTTTGTAGAACAGGAAAGCTTGGGTGCTGTGGTATAGCCAGGGGTAAGCCGGAGGTTCGAGAAAGTGGAGGTTGAATGGAAGAAGAAGAAGAAAGGGAAGAGTATGTGCTCGTCACCGTACTGAACTTCGATGTACTGATACTGGTTGTGATTTTGTTATCGATGATAGTTTGCGTGGCTGACGACTCATCCGAATCACCAGTCAATCGCCGGGGGACAGAAGGTTGAGAATTTGTGATGTGTTTCTTCAGCTCACAACCTGCTGTGACTTGTAATGGGATATCAGCGGAAAAAGTGGCATCGGAAGATAAAGACGGTAGTTTCCCCATCAGAGAGGGTTGTTGCTGTTGATGTTGTTGCATTTGGCTGCGCTGCAGCTTAAGCTTGGCGAGCGCTTGAGCTTGAGGAGTGCAACCTCCAGTGAGAGCTAACAAGCCAATTGTCGACCGGTCACGAAGCCGACCTCTTGGAGGTTTTAAAAGCCCTGACCTAAAGTCAATTGTACCATCAGTCCCGCCCAATTCCTCATCATCCTCATCCTCCCCATCATCCTCATCATCCTCATCATCCTCATCATCCTCATCATTTTCCGCATCCTTGCTCTCATCACAATCCACATCTGCCTCCCATTCGCTCTCATTATACTGGCAATTGTTCACCGCCTCCTTAGAGTCAGCATATGCTCTCTTCTTTTGCACAACCTGCAACTTGACCGCGTGGCTGTCTAGTTCAGCGACCCGTTTCATGGATATTGAAAAGCCTGGTGGCAGGCGTCGGGCACGAGTAAAACGCTCCTTGATTCTGATCCCTTCCCCATCACTAGTGACTGAGGTTTTGGCTTTTGTGAGCTTCGGGGGGGAAAATTCTGGGGAAAAAAGTGATTGTCGGCTTTTACGACTATTATCACTACCCTCATCACTGTTGCCGCCATCACTACTGCATCTGCTAGAATCTGAGCAGGAGCTGCTTTCAATGCGCCTACCCACATGCTTTTGTTCACGGCTATAGGATAATGTAGAGCGCCGAGAACGATGTTGTGAAGGGTCTGAAGTCGCTGCTGAAGGCATCAGTGAACTTAAGGTGTCGCCACTAGCACCGATAGCTCCGCGACAACATTGCCGTTTCTGTGAATGGCCGGTGCGTCCAAGCAGCTTGTTTGAATCCTTACTAAGATCTGGAGCATGATCCGTTACTTCATGTCCTGTGGAAGGATCAGTGATCTCGGTATCAGAAGCAAGAGCTAGCCGATTATGATTCTCAGCGACTGCGCCGATGGTGATCAGTTTGCTTGCCTCTTTGCGATCTACCTTAGCAACGGCGCGTCGGGAAGGGGTATGTTTTGTTCGTGAATGACCTGAATTAGCGGTAGAAATGGTAAAAAGAAAGTGTGAAATCAAAGAATTCCTAGATATGAAGAAGGCCTATTCAGTGGAAAATAGGAATCGCCAGATACGATGTAGAGACAAAGCTTTAGAAAAGTTTGAAAATTTATTAACTTCCTCAAGAGAGTGCCACGAGTAAGTTTGATGCAAGTTAGATGAAAAAAGAGTCAAGTTAAAAAGAGCTACCCAAACGACGACTGCATAAAAAATCTTTAACCGACAAACTAAAGAGGTTAGAGGAACGGCGCATGGACTATCATATGTCGATAGTTAGTATATAGTGAATTCTGATGCATGGCTATTCTAGATTAATCGTGTGAGAACTTAGAGCTATAAGCATATATGAAGTGCATTAAAAAAGCCAAAACAAAGGCCATAGTCATGTATTAGAGGAATCGAAGAAGTGTTTGTAAAGATAGATGAAATCAAGTGTAAAAATTGAACGCAGTTTAATCTTGTGAAGTCCTTAAAAGTGTGATCATACTGGACATAGACGAGGCATTGAGATTTCATTGGAAAAAAAGAAGCTGC